TCTTGAGATAGTTGTTAACTTGTTGTTGAGGAGGCTGGCACAACACACATGCCTGTGATGAGTCATGAAGTCTCCTTCTTCCGTGCAGGGCCACAGTTACACCGTGCGATTGGCCGATATCGCGGCCCCACCCAACTCGACATGCTCCTCGGATGAAGGGAGATCAGGGTGCAGATTTGTGGAGCTTCATACAGTGAGTGTCCGCGAGTGCGTTTGCCTCAGATCCGGTTCTTTTGAGTCTATTCTCTATACTATACCATACGATGCTATGTTATGCTGTACTGTACTATACTATAGAGTATACTAGAGCAGTCTCTAGATCTGGACCTGTTGAGATACATGCTCGAGGTGGTGATCAAAACGTCACTCTGCTGGACCCATCGCTCTGGGAGTTGGCTGATGCCTCACCATGTTTTGCCTGCAGAGAAGTCTCTCGAGCTTCGGGTGGGCTGAGGTCCCGAGTGAAGTTGGTGGCCCCTGGACCTCGTGAACAGATCTTCGCCGCCACTTTGCCAAACACACTCAGAACAGAGCCCGCCGTTTCACACATCTCATGCCAAAGGTGCATAGTCTTCCGCCAGTGGTGGATCAGCTAGTGAGCGGTTGCTGGGAGCACGGATGTCAGCGTGAAAAGTCAGCAGCTGAATATGGACGGAGCCCGGATCTCCTGAGCTCGTGTTCTTATGCAATTTCTTGTCGAGCTTTTCGGAGGGTTGTATTAACCATCCTCGCAGACTCGTATCAAGGCACGGAGAAAACTGATGTCACATCAAAAGGCTAAGGTACATATATATATATATATAGATACATATATACATGTGTGAGTGTGTGCGCGTGTTCATCTGTCTCAGTCTTTCTTGCCACCCTGTCTATCTGTTCTATCATCTGTTCTTTGTTTTATTGTTTTTCTCGTTACAGAATCTTTTTATCTCTCCTCTCTGGCTCTCTCTCCCTCTCTCTGTCGCGCTCTCTCTCTCTCTCTCCCTCTCCCTCTCTCTCGGTCCGCTTGTTCTCTCTGTCTCTCTAGCTCTAGCTTCACTCTTCGTCCCTGCATCACCTAATCAGCCTGATTATCATACTGTCATGTCCGTCTTTCATCTGCGTCTCGCCTTATCAGGGTGTCAGAAAATCAGAGTCTGTAGTGCCGACCCTCAATAGTAGCTTTTTGTGATAATGACCCATGGCTGCCGCTCAGGCACCCCCAACTTGCTGAAACTCCCATGTTTCCCCACAAACACTCAACTCGGAATCCTAAACCCAGAAACGGAACCCTAGATGCAGAACACTAAGCAGGGAATCCCAGGCTCCAAAAACCAAAACCCCTCGAATCCATCTGAATCCTAAATGTAAATCACTCCAATGTAGCTTTGGTTGACTACGACTATGTTGAGCACATCATTCGCTTTGTTTCGCATAATTTGCATTGTTTCACAATGTTTCAGCCTTCCACGCGTGTGGGTCGGATGCTGCATTCCGGCTCGCCTTTGGAGTCCTCCCACTCCGCATTACTCTCATTACTCTGGCCGGATCTTCGAGGGGCCAGCTCAAGCTTAAAGCCTAGTCTTTCAGGCATGCCGATCACTCGCCAGTCCGCCGACATCGTATGGGCCATGACGAGGACATTCCCCGGAACACGCTGGGTGAAGACGGGGAGATGCGTAAAGGTGCCGCAAGGGCAGCTGGAAGCTCAAGGCCGTGAAGCTAAACGTTAGCAACATTCAGATCAAGTCCTTCGTGCATGTGGTGAAGACAGACGTGGACGGCAATTGGTGAAGTGACGGCATTGGAGGATGGCAAGCTGGAGGTGAACATCTAGGGAAAGCACGAGTTCTTCAAACCAAAGAGTCTTATCCGTTGTGACTTCCAGTGAGGTATGTTCTGTTTCTGGATGAGGAGTGATGATGACATCCTGGCGGAGCCAGACATTAACGATGAGCAGGGTGAAGGTGAAATTCCCCACGGCACCTGGCGCTTCAAATCCCAGGAGCTGGTGCGAGCCCATGTGCAGCCGGGCCGCTTCGTGCAGTGGGTCTACGATGCCGAGGATGTCGAGAAGGGCGAGCTGGGCCAGGTCGTTTTTGGAGAAGGCATCAATGACCAGCGGAAGGTCAAGGCCAAAGGCAGCTGGGGGTGCAAACTCAATCACTTGTTCGCCAATGAGCTGCAGATGGGAAGCTTCGTGGTGTGGTTAAACTGTTAAACTATGACTATGACGACGACATCAGGAGGGGAGGTGGTGGGCATCAAGGCCGAGAAGGGCACCGTAAAGACCCGGTCCTCCGAAGGCACTTGGAGCTTTGAACGCAAGGAGCTCCGGCCGTACCGCATCCAACCCGGGAGCTCTGTTCCAGCAGGCGGACGAAGACATTGCCCGACGCGACATTGGGGAGGTAGTACGCTAAAGGGAGGATGCTAATAGATGCCGCGTCCGTGGAACAAGGGCGCATGGTCCCTCGAGTTTTTGGATTGTGAGCTTCTCCCTTTCCAGCGTGGCGACCGGGTGCCGAAGGGTCACATCGGTCAGGTTTGTGAGATCCGAAGCTAGGATGAAGCCGGGAGCAAGTTCGCTGTGCGCTTCCTCAACGGTCGCTGGGCTTCCTTTGACATCGACATGGACAACCAAGGCTTCAACGAGCTCAAGGCGACCTTCAAAGGCTTCGACCTGAACGGGATGGCAAGTTGTCTGCGAAGGAGCTCTATGAGGTTCTGCGCAAGCTGGGGGCATGTCGGCGGAGGAGTGCAATCAGTTTTTCGAAGCCTTGGATGCAGACGGCAACGGCAAGCTGGACACCGACAAGTTTTTGAACTACGTCTTTGTCTCGGAAGCCGCGGACTCGCAGAAGAAGTTGCGGGTTGGACGTGCACTTTGGAGGCTTTGAAGAGGAGGCTGAGGATTTGGACGGCGATGACGACCCCGAGAGCGTAGGGCGCTGCAGGTGGAGCACGATCACGAAGGATGTGGGCGCTCCGTGGGCAAACTGAAGAACGGCAAGGTGCCTATCCTGGATCTGGGACAGCCTGCGGACGAGAGCCCCTTGGAGCTGGATCTGGCGAAAAACACCGGCCTTGACGGTCTGCTCTTCCACCTCCTGAGAAGCAGGGCCATGAACGGCTCTGAGGAACTGTGGAAGGCGTGGAAGACCTGCCAGCAGCGCTGGCTGCAGCGGCGAAAGCACCCAAGTCAAGAGCGCCACGGCCTTGCTGCAGCGGGCGCGGGAGTGTTGTAGGAGGCTGGCCATCGTCGACGAGTGCAAAGCTGCTGGTACAAAAGTTTACGGACGCCATCCCAACGAGAATGAGCCCGCGGTGCTCTGTTGGCACTGCGGAGTGGAGAATAGTGGAGAAGCCACGTCGCCGGAGGCGTGCCAAGTAACTCAGACCAGATGCCCAGCTGGTCGTGGGCCAGGTGGAGGCCCGCGATGTCAAAGCAAGGGTTTGGAGATTGCTGCCTTCTGGGCGCTGTAGCAGCTATCGCAGTAAACCGCAAGCGCTTCATACGGCGAGTCTTCGCTCATTGGGGCGTCGAGGTGGGTGTCTATGGGCTCGTCTTTTGCATGGAGTCACAGTTTGTCTATGAGATCTTGGACGATGATGTCTATGTGGTCCTCGATTATAATCATCCGCTGTATGCGCGCAGCTAGGATTTGGACGAGTTGTGGATTATGCTGCTGAAGGCCTTCTTCAAGCACCATACCTGTGTCGAGATGTGCGACGGCGGCCATGGACCAGAAGCCATGTACAGCTTCTCGGGCGGGGTCACGGGCAAATGCAGCAAAAATTACTTCAACACGCCCGAGATTTACTTCAAGACTGTCTCACATGCCTTGGACGCGGGGCAGATCATAGTTACCTTTGGATACCACCCAAGCGGAAGTACTCTGACGGCCACGGACTTTTGGAGCGTCACTGCTTTTCCTTCATCAGGGCAGTGGAGGCCGAGGGCAACAAGCTCTTCTGCACCCGCAATTTCTGGGGCAAAGGCGACTGGACAGGGGATTGGGAAGACATGACTACATGCACGTCGGCCGGGATGTGAGATACCTCAAGCCTTTCGGCCCCACCTGGCGGTGCGAAGCATTTAGCGAGGAGGATAGCAAGGGCCGGGCCAAGCGGCAGTGCCAGACGGCAGACAGCACGGAGCCCAGCTTTAACAAGAGCGATGATATTCTTGTGCACCAGGTTAAAAGACTACTGAGCAAGGGCACCCGTCTGGAGGACGGTGCTCAGGGCTCCTTCCGCACAAAAGACGTGGAAATTATCCAGGGGGGCAACGATTACGAGGTCACCCTGACGGCGGAAGATGTGGCGGAAGACTCGAGCCCCATCTTGGCTGTCATGCTGGAGAACCAGCTGATGAGGCGCGGCGGGGGGGGGGGGGGGGGGGGGCCGGAAGGAGGATGGTGTGAGGTACAAAGTCGATGACTATCCTCGCTGCAGGATCATCAATTGCAAACGGACAAAAATCAGAAGGAGTCGATCCAGGAATGCAGCAGGAAGTACACCCTGACGCGCCAGCAACGGCAAAGGTATGCGCTTCAGCCTGCAATGCTTTGCTCCTCATGGCCAGCTGAGCTGGAAGGGATGGCCAATCTCACGCGAAGAGTTCATGAATGCTTTATGAGGGGCGGACACCAAAGCAATGTAAATGTATGGCCAATCCTAGACATATTTCGGCACATGGTCGCAGGGAAGCAGTCTCTCCTGTTCAAAAACAAACTCCGCCAGCGGGCCCGGCAAAGCCGGCCTCAGCTCTCAATCGAAAATCGCGCGGCAAATCGCTCTGCACGAAAAAGACAAATCCAGACGGTACATGCCACGGCCAGCGGCGCGGGAAGGGTTCCGTGCACGTCTCTGAGACCGGCCTCCTGACTTGTTTCCAATTCTGCAAAAAAGATGGGCTTACTAGCTGCCGGTAGCTGTGATTCTTGTAGCTTTACGTCTTGCACTCAGGCGAATTCTACAGAAACAGGGGTGCAGGTATCTGTTCGGGTTGGGGTGAGGTTGGAACACGAAGGCAAAGATGGCCGACTGGACGTCGAGGACTGCGGAGGAGTCGCCCTTTTGAGCAGGGCGGACGGCCGAGTTGAGAGCAGGTTTTCTTTGAATGTTTGTGCAAGGTCGAGATGTGAAACTTTTCCGTCAAACAGTGCTTTCCGAACTCGGCCCTGAGTGTTCCGTGGACCCATAGGCATGGGATAGCTGTACCGAGATGGGCTTTGTCAACTTGCCACTGTATCAACAAGCCTCATCAAAGTAGCATTTGCGGTTGGATGTGCGAAGAGCGCTCAGCTGGCTGGTACTCAGCGAAGACTTCGCAAGAAGGTGGCAGATAGTCTGGCTATATCTCTGCTCATGTCAGGCAGAATGTCGCTTTGGCGTTTCAGGAGTTCCTATGGCAGGCTCAAATGAAATATGCGTAATGCCGGGTCTTCAATCCACTCCGAGCAGATACAGCTATCCGACGAGCTTGAAACTCCAGCCTATGTATCGCATTCTTGACAATTGACATCCACGTTGAACTGCAGCTGCGAAGATTTCCCCACTGCTGTGTTGACAAACAGATAAATTCGGGCCAGTCTCGGATGCGGCACGATGGTCTGAGACGTGCGGCCTGAGCCAATCGCGCACCCAACATGGAATGTGCCGGGCCTGAACTTGAATATGGTGTGGGTTTTTGGGGTAGCCTTCGTTTTTCACAAGCGGTTCCCCCCCTCGCTCGGAAGAGAGTTCCTCGACCGGATTTGAAGGTGAAACTTGTAAGGCAGGCTCACCATATCTTTCAAAGATTCAAACTTCTGCTAGCCATTCAAAAAGAATCCATAACTGGCACTGTGCTTCAAATCGGTTAGGTTTGAGTAAGAAAGGACACAGGCAATCTGGTGGGATGTTTGGCAGCCTAAGCCGAGACTTTGCGGAGAAGTCGCGTCCCTTCTCGGGCAGCTATACACTAAGCTGCGATTGCCCTGATCACGAAGCTTCGTGCTAAGGCCTCACAGAAGATCCGACGCACCTCGGCATCGTAATATGTCGCAATGTGTCTTTCGACACTTGCTAGGATTCCTGACTGCTGGGTTTGGTGCATCTGCTTGCCATTCGAGGGATCAGTGCGACATGACGCAGCTGGTGGGGTATCTGGTTGCCCCCTCAGCACCGTCCCATCCGTTGCTCCATTTGGTCATGCAGCAGCATGTTGCGCTGGTCTTTGGCTGTGTCTTCATGGATGGATTCTACATCAGGCCTGCTCACACCGGCAATCTTAGAAGGCGGTGAAAGGCGGTGACATACTCGATCTGCGCAGCCTATCTAACTGGCTTCAGAGTCCGTCCCGGACCATCCATCTGCACTCGTCTTCCACGCTTGTTGTTCGGCCCGAGTCCTGCGCACATCGACAGAGTGTATGAAGATGTGTGTGTATCAAACCCAAGGCTGGCATTCTCTGTGGCGTCTTCATTTGCAGCTGCGCTTCTCGCCTGAACAGTCACTGGGGAGTCCCCACTCGCCTTGCAGACTTGGCCGAGACTAGCAGTGACTAGCTGAAAGCTGATGTAAGTACCGAGCCAGTCTTGTGTGTGTGTGTGTGTGCGCAGTTAGGTTGGCATGTATGCAGGTAGCAACCCGAAGGGTGACAAGATCGAGACAACAGTTTCCATAGTACTCTCGTCCCCCAAGTTCCTCAAGTCTATTTATGACGTCTCGGGGCAAGTCATGTCCAGTGAGTGATGACGTGTATGGCAAAGCTTAAAGGCGCAAGAACGAGATTGCGACTGATGCTGGCACGTTGCATCGAGCTGATGATGGAACCAACATCGAGAAGATGCTATGTCAAGACTTGAAGCCCGATATCACAGACAGGCAGATGAAAGTTGCATGGCAACACTTTACGCAACAAGGAGGCGAAATGTGAATCTGGTCTGGGTCCTGTTGCAGATCAGGGGACGCTGGATCGGCTAGATCACCCTTTCCAGGATTTGAGACTGTGAAGCAGAACATTGAGACCGTGGAAGGCTAGTAGTGGGAAGGAGCCAAACAGCAGGGCGAGAACTAAAAGTTTGCCGGCCACACATTTGTCACTCCGTGTGCCCGAGGAGAGGATGATCCTAGTAGCACTTTGCAAGCACGCACGCACACACGCGTGCGCCCAGTGCGACATGGCTTACAACCAGGATTTTGAATGCACATCGGAATGACTGGGGTGATCTATGATTAGGACGCACTCAGCATAATGTCGCAGTTTTTCGGATCCTTCGGTAGGTCATTAGTCATCGGCAGGGTGGCGAGTGGGTACGTATGCGCGCATCTCCCATATGCCACGTGTACACTTCCGCACATGCGTGCATGCTGCTGTCTTGAGGGATGGACAGACGGACAGATTGACGGCTAGAGATACATGGATGGAGACTTGAAGTCGAAGAGTGATACCGACAGCACCGAGTGGTTGAAATGAGCGCGGTGTAACTGTTGTAAATGTCCATGTGCTCTTCGAGGTTTTGTCAGGCTGCCTCTTTTATTGCCGCTCAGCTTGCAATGTGCCGTGTGCGAAGCACTAGCACTGGTTCGCTAGCTTGTTTCAATTCTGTTTGCGAAATGCCGAATCAACATGGCCTGTACGAAAGCATGCATCGGCTTCGGCACAAGCGCTTTGGCCCCTACTAGGAGCTTTCATTTTCTGATTTGTACGGCTTGATGGCGATGATACGATCCTTGACAAGTTCGAGCTTGTAGGGCTATAATCCTCGATGAAGTCGTTGAAACATAGGCCGCTGGAAGATGCGCACGCCTGATGTGGGAGCCGGGAACTCAGTCCGGGGCCACCATTGTGCAAGGTACTCTGCCACACTCTTGCAACGCTGGGAAAGCCTTGGCTAGAAGGCCAGTGCAGATTCATACCTTTCTTGTATAGACATCTGTTTCGGAGTTGCGAACGCTTTGCAAACACAAGAGCAGATTGAACGAAAGGCAGATATGCAGCCAACCTGAGGTGCGCCTAGGTTCAGTGTTTCAGGGTCTTGCAGACCCTCAGCGGCGCAGGTCCAAGGTCCGCAAACATAGCAGATCCAGTGAGCATTGCAATCAGAGCCCCAGATTGATGTGCCGAGGGCAACACTGCGGTTTAGGAGAGTTTCGGGCTGCAGTTGAGGCACGAGCTGAATGAGTAACTGCGAGTAGCATTTGGCCTTGCGTTTCTTTGAAACGTCTGAGGCCATCACCATGAGAACTTCGGAGGGCAGAACACAGGACGCCAAACCCTGCACTGTTTGGATTGCCCGCTGTTGCCAAAGGGCCAACGGTGGTGATGGTGGGGCATACAGCTGCTATGCTGCTTGCACTTGGCTCCTGGAGTGGTTGGTGACAACAAGACTGTGTTTGCGACGATGTTCGTCTTTTGAAGTCTGTCTTAGTACGATATGGTATCGGTATGATCTTATACGATATTACGATGTGATACGATATGGTACGGTACGTTATGATATGAGTATGAATGATGTGGCATGGTGTGGTATGGTGTGGTGTGGTCTGGCATGGTGTGGCATGGTATGGTCGGGTATGGCATTGCACGACATGGGATGGCATGGTGTGGGATTCCGTGGCGTGGGATGCCGTGGCGTGGCATGGCATGCCATGGCATGCCATGGAATAGTGTACAGTACGCCTAAGATGTCCTGTAAAAAATTGATGGCGGCGCGCCTGCAATGCGCATGCACGCCTGCTCCCTCAATTACTTAGATTGTAGCACTACTTGTTTGATTACTTTTGTTGCGTTACCAAGCCAGGACGTCAAGTTCCAGATCTGGAAAGCTAAACCAGGTTGGGGCTTTTTGCTGTGCACGATGTTTTCAATTCTTGAGCCTCATGTGTTGCTGCTTCCACATGTAGGGGCTTTGTCCTTTGTCCGGCCAGGTGCCTCTGCCTGCGAACAGGCCCGCTGGCAAAAGTACTGCCATTGGTTTCATAGCGGAGCAGTTTCGGGGTTGAGTCGCCCCTTTTGCGAAGATTGCCGTGCTCCTTTTTAGTTCGTATGAAGCAACTGAGGCCTCTCCACTTTGAGAGATTTGCAATGTCTTGCACACCCGCTGTGCTTTTTTTACCAAGAATGTACTTCTCGATCGTGGTTCCAAGGTTTTGCATCTGCACAAAGTTACACACGACGAAACCTAAACCCTAAACCGCGTTCTTGCGTTGATGTGTCATGCCAGCCCCAAAGTTTTAAGCACAGACATGGACACGACGCCCTTGAAGGCGACTGGGTAGTGGGAAGACCTTGCCGGCCCAGAAGTGTATGAAACGTATTTACGTTGTTTGGCTCACGTACTACTCGTATAGCACTGTATACCGGCTTAAGGTGTAAAGGCTGTAAAGATATTCTGTGACCGCTTGCAGTGATTTTAGAGTCTCAAGACATGCAGAATTGATTTTGAGAAAGAGGAGGCTCCTTTTGAAGTCACGGGGATTCGTGCTTCTTTAGATCGGCGGACGAAGGACCTTCTGCGATGCGAGTGTGTGTAGTTTGGATCGGGGTTCAACCGGTATGAACTTGGCTGTCTCCTAATCCGAAATCTGCCAACACCCCCAACCTTTTTGTCAAAACTCTTCAGGTCCTGAGAACCAGCCTCTGGCCAGGACCAGCCCAAAGTGGGCAAGACAACTTCCTTGCGGTCGTCCACGAGTTGCCCTGCTCGAAGTTGGAATACCCCACTTTATGTGGCTCCCAACTTTTGGTTCTCAGTCTAAAGAAATTGGACATTGAAATATCTCCACTTGCTGTGGTTCCTGGTCCCTGTTTGTATCCAAGTCTCTCTCTCTCTCTCTCTCCCTCTCTCTGTCTATCCATCCACCCATCCATCGATCCATCCACCCATCCATCCATCGATCTATCTATCTATCTATCTATCTATCTACCTATCTACATCTATGTACATCTATCTACATCTATCTGTCTATCTATCTGTCTATCTGTCTATCTATCTGTCTATCTGTCTATCTGTCTATCTATCTGTCTATCTATGTATCTATCTTTCTGTCTTTCTGTCTATGTCTCTAAGGCTATCTGTCTCCGCATCTCTCTATCTCGGTGTCTCTCTCTCTCTCTCTCTTCTCTCTTGTATCTTCTCTCTTCTTTCTCTCTTCTTTCTCTCTTCTTTCTCTCTTCTTTCTCTCTTCTTTCTCTCTTT